AAAACCCCCAGAGTATTAAAAAACCATCTTTTGGGTGGTTTGGAAACAAAAAACCCCCAGGGGGGGAAAATCCACCCTGGTAGTAGGTTGGTAGAAAACAACCACCCAGGGAGGTACTACCATCCTGTGGTAGTAGGTGGTAGACAACAACCACCCAGGGAGGTACTACCATCCTGTGGTAGTAGGTGGTAGACAACAACCACCCAGGGAGGTATTACCATCCTGTGGCAGTAGGTTGGTAGACAAACCACCCAGGGAGGTACTACCATCCTGTGGTAGTAGGCTGGTAGACAACAACACCCCAGGGAGGTACTACCATCCTGTGGTAGTAGGTTGGTAGACAACACCACCCAGGGAGGTACTACCATCCTGTGGTAGTAGGCTGGTAGACAACAACCACCCAGGGAGGTATTACCATCCTGTGGTAGTAGGTTGGTAGACAACAACCACCCAGGGAGGTATTACCATCCTGTGGTAGTAGGTTGGTAGACAACCACCCAGGGAGGTACTACCATCCTGTGGTAGTAGGTTGGTAGACAACCACCCAGGGAGGTACTACCATCCTGTGGTAGTAGGTTGGTAGACAACAACCACCCAGGGAGGTACTACCATCCTGTGGTAGTAGGTTGGTAGACAACAACCACCCAGGGAGGTACTACAATCCTGTGGTAGTAGGCTGGTAGACAACAACCACCCAGGGAAGTACTACCATCCTGTGGTAGTAGGCTGGTAGACAACCACCCAGGGAAGTACTACCATCCTGTGGTAGTAGGCTGGTAGACAACAACCACCCAGGGAGGTACTACCATCCTGTGGTAGTAGGCTGGTAGACAACAACCACCCAGGGAGGTACTACCATCCTGTGGTAGTAAGTTGGTAGACAACAACCACCCAGGGAAGTACTCCTGTCCTGCTAAGTGAGTGCAAAATGGAAGCCTGAAACTGTTTTACATGATGGTAGGATTGCTGGTGTCTTTCTTCTGTCTCATAAACATGCAAGATTTCAGGTACGTCATGCTACTTCTACTTACACTTAGGTCACACTACACATGCATGTACAAAAATATATATACACACCCCTCTGGGTTTTCTTCTATTTTCTTACTAGTTCTTGTTCTTGTTTATTTCCTCGTATCTGTATGAGGAAGTGGAACAGAATTCTTCCTCCGTAAGCCATGCACGTCATAAGAGGCGACTAACATGCTGGGAGCGAGGGGCTAGTAACCTCTTCTCCTGTATACATTACTAAAGTTAAAAAGAGAAACTTCTGTTTTTCTTTTTGGGTCACCCTGCCTTGGTGGGATGCAGCTGGTTTGTTGCAAGAAGAACATGCAAAGTTGAAGGTTTGTAATACCAGAGTTGTCTTTATGTGGAGGCAAATGCAGGAGGGCCTTGTGTATTACAGGAGAACCCTGTGTATTACAGGAGAACCCTGTGTATATTACAGGAGAACCATGTGTATTACAGGAGGACCCTGTGTATTACAGGAGGACCCTGTGTATTACAAGAAGGCCCTGTGTCATACAGGAGGACCCTGTGTATTACAGGGGAACCCTGTGTATTACAGGAGGACCCTGTGTATTACAAGAAGGCCCTGTGTCATACAGGAGGACCCTGTGTATTACAGGGGAACCCTGTATATTACAGGAGGGCCCTGTATATTACAGGAGGGCCCTGTGTATTACAAGGCCCTGTGTCATACAGGAGGACCCTGTGTATTACAAGAAGGCCCTGTGTCATATAGGAGGACCCTGTGAATTACAGGAGGACCCTGTGTATTACAAGAAGGCCCTGTGTCATATAGGAGGACCCTGTGAATTACAGGAGGACCCTGTGTATTACAAGAAGGCCCTGTGTCATACAGGAGGACCCTGTGTATTACAGGAGGGCCCTGTATATTACAGGAGGACCCCATGTCTTACAGGAGGGCCCTGTGTATTACAGGAGGGCCCCATTTGTATGGCTCTTAGCTTTCCAACCCCATACAATAAACAAAAGCCGCTGACAAGTAGAAAAGAGCATTTGAAAACATGTTTACACTATCATATATAAAGTGCTCAATACAGCTAGATCTAAAACAGTAAAATAAATACGAAGTGCAAACAATACCTTAAAATATAGTGCTGGTCACCATTCCTTTAAAAAACTGTTTTGATAGAAATGGAAAAGTGGTAAAAGCATCAAACATAATGAATAATGACTCAGCTGAAAGCCAAGGAAAATGTGGAACAATGAAAAGAGGTGAGGAATACGAAGGGCCCTCCTGTAACACACATAGCATTCCTGTAACACACAGGGCCTTCCTGTAAGACACAAGGCCCTCCTGTAAGACACAGGGGCATCCTGTAAGACACATGGCCCTCCTGTAAGACACATGGCCCTCCTGTAAGACACAAGGCCCTCCTGTAAGACACAGGGGCATCCTGTAAGACACATGGCCCTCCTGTAAGACACATGGCCCTCCTGTAAGACACATGGCCCTCCTGTAAGACACAGAGGCATCCTGTAAGAAACATGGCACTCCTGTAAGACACATGGCCCTCCTGTAAGAAACATGGCACTCCTGTAAGACACATGGCCCTCTTGTAAGACACAGCACCCTCCTGTAATACACAGGGCCCTCCTGTAACACACAAAACTCTCCTGTAAGACACACGGCCCTCCTTTAATACACAGGGACTTCTGTAATACAAAGGGCCCTCCTATAAGACACAAGGCCCTCCTGCAATATACAGTGACCTCCTGTAATATACAGTGACCTCTTGTAATACACAGTGACCTGTAATACACAGATTAATAACACTAGTACAAACAAGCCATGGAACTGGTGAGGGTCGAACCTGTGGTAACTGCATCCTAAAACCCCAAGCAAATTTTAGCATCCCTTGCCATAGGTTCAAAGCCACCAATCCCACAGTTTATGCACTCGTTTTATTACGGCTTTCTGAATAATCACCAATTAAGGCTTACAAGGCTGTGACTGGGCCATCCTGGTAGCATCGTCTGTGTTCTTCATGTTGTATAAGAGTGGACTCATGTTGCCATGGGAACTGATGCGCTGGATGCTGTCACAGTTGTAGCTCTGGCGGACCAGGTTCGCATCGCTGAAGTTTTTCTTTAGTTCGTCTCCTGCGATCTGAAACATACACGATTTAGTAACCGAATTTCAGAATGACGATGACAGTTATTAAATCCTGTAATCCGACAGTTACCACTCTCTCCAGAATTTACAGTAAATTCTGGGTTACAGTAAATTCTGGGTTACAGTAAATTCTGGGTTACAGTAAATTCTGGGTTACAGTAAATTCTGGGTTACAGTAAATTCTGGGTTACAGTAAATTCTGGGTTACAGTAAATTCTGGGTTACAGTAAATTCTGGGTTACAGTAAATTCTGGGTTACAGTAAATTCTGGGTTACAGTAAATTCTGGGTTACAGTAAATTCTGGGTTACAGCAAATTCTGGAAAATTTACAGTAAATTCTGGAAAATTTACAGTAAATTCTGGAAAATTTACAGTAAATTCTCAATTTACAGTAAAGTCTGCATAATTTACAGTAAATTCTGGGTAATTTACAGTAAATTTAGCATACTTTATAGTAAATTCTTGATTTACAGTAAAGGCTGGATAATTTACAATAAATTCTAGATAATTTAGAGTAAATTCTCTTTCATTTACTGGAGATATATTACAGTACATACTGGATACAAGGAACCAAGACTGGTGTTCGTTATATCAGAATAATGACTGAATGTACTAGTCACTGAATGATACTTTATACCAGGCATTTACTGTAATAATAATAATAGTAATAATAATAATAATAATCCTAGGTAGTAGGTTGGTAGACAGCAACCACCCAGGGAGGTACTACCGTCCTGCCAAGTGAGTGTAAAACGAAAGCCTGTAATTGTTTTACATGATGGTAGGATTGCTGGTGTCCATTTTTCTGTCTCATGAACATGCAAGATTTCAGGTATGTCTTGCTACTTCTACTTACACTTAGGTCACACTACACATACATGTACAAGCATATATATACACACCCCTTTGGGTTTTCTTCTATTTTCTTTCTAGTTCTTGTTCTTGTTTATTTCCTCTTACCTCCATGGGGAAGTGGAACAGAATTCTTCCTCCGTAAGCCATGTGTGTTGTAAGAGGCGACTAAAATGCCGGGAGCAAGGAGCTAGTAACCCCTTCTCCTGTATATATTACTAAATGTAAAAGGAGAAACTTTCGTTTTTCCTTTTGGGCCACCCCGCCTCGGTGGGATACGGCCGGTGTGTTAAAAGAAAAGAAGAAATAATAATAATAATAATAATAATAATAATATAATTATTTATATAATATTTGTAATGATTATAACAACTATAATAATATTAATAGTAATACTAACAACAATAATAATAATAAATAGTAATAATAATAGTAATAATAATAGTAATAATAATAATAGTAAAAATAATAGTAATAATAATAATAATAATAATAATAATGCTACCAGCAAGATTGCTACCAGCGGCAGCAGCGTCTTCCAAGCTCCGTACATTTCTCCAACTACCAGAGCTACAAATGCTCCTATGATGACCTAGTTACAAGCAAAACTCCACTACCCAACGTAGCACCCAGAATGACCAAAGATTACCAACAGTGAAACCTACAAATCGAAAAAATAGAGATCAAAGGAAGACTGCAAACAAACCGAAACAACACCCCGCTGCCAGCCGAACAACGTAACCCTAAGCTTTGTATACTACAACTTCTTCTTAACTTCAACAATTCCTGTAGTATTATGAGGCGCAATCTAAGAGGAAACAGCACCAAGGCCAGCAAGAAAACACCGAAAAATCAACTATTCAACAAGTGTAGCCAGGAGGACGCCGGCCCAGCAACCACCCCACTCACCACCACTCAAGGCCACACCACAACAATAACAACAAACATGGCTGCCACCAGCCCATCCTCCCCTCTCTTCCCCGGATTCAACCTACCAAGTAGTCTCTCAGGTATGACCAACGATCCAGATACCCTAAAGTCATGCATCTCCAACTTAGTTATTGAAAATATGAATCTTCGAGAGACACTAACAAAACAAGACACCAGGATGACACAACTCGAAAACAAAATCCTCAGTCTTGAACAAAAGTTATCGACACCAGGAATGACTAACTGTGACAAGACCATCCAAGCAGTCATAGATAGCCATACCCAACAAATAATATCTCTTAATACAAAGGTTGAAGAAGCAGTAAAGAATGGAAGAACAACTTAGATAACCAGTTCAGTGACTACTTTGCTCTCCAAGAAGATAAAACGGAACAAGATAAACTATCTGACGCAGTAATAGTTAACAGTCCACTTTTTCCCAGTGATATGAACCAAACAAACAGTAAAGAAATTACTCTGCAGATCATAAAGGACCAAACAAGTGTTATTGTACCAGAGTCAGAAATAAAAAGAAGCCAGGTTACTAGGATCCATGGTAGAAAAAGTGTTATGCTTAGATTCCACTCACATGACAGGAAAAAAGACTTAATTATTGCATCTATTAAAGTAAAGAAAGAGGTATACATAAACGAGTGTCTTACCAAAAAAACGTCAGAACCTCCTGTATAGAGTCAGAAACTTAAGCGAGAGAATAATGACACAATACACCAATGCTTCACACGGGATGGGAAAATTCTAGTTAGGAAAACAAATGTAGGTCAACTGTACACAATCACGAACGAGAATGATCTATCACGATTTCTCAGGGATACTAATCTTGCAGAGAAACAACTAAACAATGTCCAACTAAAAGCCTACGTAGTGTAGTGTACGTTTTGCTCCATTATTGTTCAAATTTCATTGTTACAATCTCTTAGTAATTAAATAATCAACTACTCATTTTGTGATTTTACTAGTAAGCATAAGTCACCTTATGTGATTTTCTTATTTAGTATTGTTCGCTTAAACATTAGCTGATTGATACTTTCCTCTGTCCATATTACTACCTAATATTTTTTAAATACTATCAATTGATATTACTTACTAAAATTAATAAATATCATTTTTACTATAATTTCAATTTACTCTTAACATTTTTGACATTTAATAACCATTACTTGTCTAATTACCTTAACCTGTTTTAATACCACATTTACTATCCTAGATTACTCTTAATTACCTTGTACTGCCATATAACCTCAAGTATAACTACCAGTGCAATATTGAATGAAATAAACATTACTTTTTCACTTTTTTGTAATCATTATTACTTACTAAAAATTTTATTAAACACCATATTTACTACCAGTCAATTTTACTTTTGTAGATTAAACATTATTTTATACTTCCCATAACATTTTGTAGCCAAATTTCAAGTTTTTATATTCAACCCCAACCTTTATATTATCCCTTGTACCTGTGTACCTGTCTGCCCTCTTACTATCATATTATAACCAAGACATTACCACTGTTATTTTTTTTACTATTATTCTTTTGGTACTTTAATTGTGAATTTTATTTTGTCAATTTAAATCTAGTTATAATCTTGATCTTGTCAACAACCTATACCAGACTCTAGTGCAATTGCAAGTACCATTTCAATTTGTATTTTTTATATTATAGATTATATTATAATTCCTACCATCTGTAGATTTAACTTTGCTTACCATTACTTAATTTTAGTCCCTTATATATTTTCTCCTTTATTTTAGCTTTATATAACTATCCTAGTTTATATATTCACAAATTGTTAAAATAATCAAGGTGCTATTCTTAGGTGCTAAAGTAGAATATGTTCACAATTTTGCCATTATATTCCAAAGCTCATTATTTGATTACCACTTTATTGTTCACCACAACCTATATTAGTCCCATTTATAATATAATTTTATACTATAATTCTAACTTTAAAAAATTACCTTTATAGTACTACCTACTACCATATTCCCAAGCTCCACTATTTGATCATCACTTTATTTGTATTAGTCCCTTAGCTCACTATTTTACATTTGTTAAATAATCTAGGTGCTATTTTTTTAGCTTAAGACTATTTACTTTGTTTTATACTTAATTCAAACTATAGATTCACTACAAATCTTATGATTTACAAGCATTGATCCTGATACCAACCTCTTATCTAATGACTTAAATGAATCAAACAGTTACTGTAATTTACTACACTGCAGAGCAATCAAAGGCACTTCTCAGTGCCACAACAACATAACTATCTTTAACTACAATATCAGATCTTTAAGCAATGCATTACGATGACCTCATAGCATTACTAAATTCCTTACATGCCAATATGTCCATCATTACACTAACTGAAACCTGGCTAAAGCCTGATAGTACAGATGTCTATACCATTCCTGGATACACAGCCATACACAAACTGTAGGCCAGACCAACAAGGGGGTGGCACAGCCATATACTACTCAGACCAACTACAATGTATCACTAATACTTGCACAAGGGATGAACATGGGGAATATATAATAGCTAAATTCAAATCCAAGTACCTACAAAAACCTCTCACATTGATAAACATCTACAGAGTTCCACAGTCAAACATTAGCCAATTTAGTCAAAATCTAGGAAGTATGATAACTGATGCACGCATGAACAAAGATCACTTACTACTCTCAGGTGACTTCAATATAAATCTCCTGCAAGACCAGGACCCACACGTTACTGAATTCACAAACACAATGAATAACTGTATGTTACTACCAACAGTAACAAAACCTACAAGAGTTACAGAGACTAGTGTTTCCCTACTTGACCACATCTGGACCAAACACCATATCCCTTTAAAATCAGGCATAATTACAGATAATACCACAGACCACTACCCTACTTTCCTCATAACAACTCTTGGTAAACTACCCCAAGACACTACTAAAGTCACCTTCAGACTTCACAATGAGGCAGCCATTAATAACTTCACAACAGCAATAGCAAACATCGATTGGCACACTGAGCTAGAAACCTATACAGATATTGACGAATGTATTAATATTTTCTAAAAAAGACCCAATACCTCTATAACAAGCACTGCCCTAAAAAAACTAAACAGATGACAGCAAAGAGACTGAACAGTCCCTGGCTAACACCCAGCATTCTCAAATCATAAATACAAAAACACCAATATGAAAAAACCAGTACAGAATGGGTCACATAACCAGAGACCAAACAAAACGTTACTCGTCAATCCTAACCAGCCTGATAAGAAGGGCAAAAAAATTGTATTATGAGAACAGATTATCCAACTTACGAGGTGATATAAAAAAGACCTGGAAAACCCTATCAGAAATTCTGGGAACAAAAAAGATATCACGAAATAGCGAAATAAAATTAGCAAAAATCAGATGAACCCCAACTCCCACCAACAGAAACAGCAAACAGACTCAATGATTTCTTCTCACTATAGGACAAAAACCTTGCCAATAAAATCCAAGCTCAGATACCCCACCAAATGGACTACCTCACCGGCAACTACCCGAACACTCTGTTCCTAGCTCCGACTAACCCATATGAAGTCTCCTTATTATCAACGCACTAAAAAACAAGGCAGGAGATTTAAATACCTTACCACCCTTATATATACAAAAAAGTGTCACAAGTGCTATCACCAATCATTGCAACACTCTTTAACAAATCCATTGAATCCTCCACCTTCCCTACAGTACTCAAAATAGCAAGGGTCACCCCGATCCACAAAGGAGGAGACCAAACAGAGTTGAATAACTATAGGCCAATATCCAACTTACACCCTCTCTCAAAATCTTTGAAAAATTAATTCATAAACGAATCTACTCCTACCTTATCTCCCAAAACATACTCAACCCCTGCCAATTTGGATTCAGGCCTAATATAAAATACTAATGATGCTATTATACACATGCTAGAACATATATACACTGCAATAGAGAAAAAGAAGTCCCACTGGGGATCTTCATTGACTTACGTAAAGCTTTTGATACAGTTGACCATGACTTGCTCCACGTAAAAATTGTCACACTATGGTATAAGAGGGCACTCCCTCAACTACCTCAAGTCATACCTCAGCAACAGAAGCCAATATGTGTACGCAAATGGGGCAAACTCTTCTGCGCAACCAATTACAGTTGTGTCCACAGGGAAGTGTCCTTGGCCCTCTTCTCTTTCTCCTATACATAAATGACCTTCCAAATGTTCGCAATTACTCAAACCCACACTATTTGCAGATGACACTACATACGTATTCTCTCACCCGAGCCCAGTCACGCTAGCCAATACTGTAAATACCGAATTACAGAAAATATCTACCTGGATGAGGACTAACAAACTTACACTAAACATTGACAAAACCTACTTCATTCAGTTTGGTAACAGAGCTACAGATGTCCCTCTTAACATAATGATAAACGGATCACCTATCACAAAACTAACAGAGGGAAATTCTTAGGAATCCACCTTGATATAGACTCAAATTTCATACACATATACAACACATCTCTAAGAAAATTCCAAGACTGTAGGCATACTATCGAAGATACGGTACTATGTTCCACAGTCAGCCCTCCTGGCCCTAATTCACTCTCTTATTTACCCCTATCTCACCTATGGAATTTGTGCATGGGGCTCAACAACAATTAACCATCTCAGACCACTAATTACTCAAACAAAAGGCTGCAGTTAGAATGATAACAAATTCTCACTACAGGCAGCACACTCCACCAATATTCAATACACTAAACCTACTCACCATACAAAACATCCATACTTATTACTGCACCTATTACATACATAGAACACTTAACTCTGATATTAACCCTCCCCTCAAACATCTCCTTGCCAACCTCAACAGAACACATGACCATAACACAAGGCACAGATCACTCTTTGATGTTCCTCGTGTCCATCTCACACTATGCAAAAACTCAATGCACATAAAAGGCCCTAAAATCTGGAATTCATTACCTGTAAATATAAAAGAAACACTACCTGATTATAAATTCAAAGTCTCTTCTCAAAGATCACTTACTCACCCAAAAACCAAATAAATACTGAATAACTGAACCTTATAAATTGTATATCTTAAATGTTTTCTCACAATTATATCATATAAATGTTAAACCTAAAACCGAATCTAACTTTATTATTTTTTAAATACACTACCTAACAGAATCACTACCTAACTGAATGCAACAATATGACCTGTCTTTGTAATACTCACTTGTGCTTTATAGTAATCTGTTTACATTAATGTTTTATCACTGATTTCATCATTGCTTAGTTAATCTTAAGTTAATTTTAAGCCAGCCCGTAATGCTATGCATAGTATAAGTGGCTTTGGCATACTGCTCTTACCTGTATTTTTTTTGTACCTCTGTATGTGTGCACAAATTGAAATAAATAAATAAATAAATAAATAAACTCTCAAAATAAAAAAAAAAAAAAAAAAAAAAAAATAATAATAATAATAATAATAAAAATAATAAAATAATAATAATATAAAGAGTAAAAATAATAATAGCAATAATAATAGTAATAAAAGAAATAATAATAGTAATAATAATAATAATAATAATAATAATATTAATAATAATAATATTAATAATAATAAAGAGTAAAAAGGCAGTACCTTGATCTTAGGTAAGTGGTTGAGAGGTAGACCCTCAGGGGCAGGCAGTTCCTGCAGGTTCAACTCATTGTTGTGATCTGCCAGGTTGTTGTCCTCCAGCGGTCGGAACATTGCACCAAAAACCACACAGTTGAGCATAATGCCGGAGATAATGATCAGAGAGTTCTGCCAACTCAGCTCATTGATCTGAGGGAGATTGGTGAAGTTGGTGGCACTTCTGACTGATGTGGGAGTGTATGGGAGGAATCCTGAGCACGGGTGGAGTATACGGGAGGAATCCCAGGCATGGGTGGAGTGTAAGGGAGGAATCCCAGGCATGGGTGGAGTGTATGGGAGGAATCCTGAGCACGGGTGGAGTATACGGGAGGAATCCCAGGCATGGGTGGAGTGTATGGGAGGAATCCCAGGCATGGGTGGAGTGTATGGGAGGAATCCTGAGCACGGGTGGAGTATATGGGAGGAATCCCAGGCATGGGTGGAGTGTATGGGAGGAATCCCAGGCATGGGTGGAGTGTATGGGAGGAATCCTGGGCACGAGTGGAGTGTATGGGAGGAATCCTGGGCACGAGTGGAGTGTATGGGAGGAATCCTGGGCACGGGTGGAGTGTATGGGAGGAATCCTGGGCACGAGTGGAGTGTATGGGAGGAATCCTGGGCCGAGTGGAGTGTATGGGAGGAATCCTGGCACAGGTGGAGTGTATGGGAGGAACCCCAGGCACGAGTGGAGTGTATGGGAGGAATCCTGGGCATGAGTGGAGTGTATGGGAGGAATCCCAGGCATGGGTAGAGTGTATGGGAAAAATCCCAGGCACGGGTGGAGTGTATGGGAGGAATCCAAGGCACAAGTGGAGTGTATGGGAGGAATCCCAGGCATGGGTGGAGTGTATGGGAGGAATCCCAGGCACGAGTGGAGTGTATGGGAGGAATCCTGGGCATGAGTGGAGTGTACTGGAGGAATCCCAGGCATGGGTGGAGTATACGGGAGGAATCCCAGGCATGGGTGGAGTGTACAGGAGGAATCCCAGGCATGGGTGGAGTGTATGGGAGGAATCCCAGGCACGAGTGGAGTGTATGGGAGGAATCCTGGACATGGGTGGAGTGTACGGTAATAATCCCGGGCATGGGTGGTGTGTATGAGAGGAATCCCAGGCACAGGTGGAGTGTACGGGAGGAATCCTGGGCATGAGTGGAGTGTATGGGAGGAATCCCAGGCACGAGTGGAGTGTATACGAGGAATCCTGGGCATGAGTGGAGTGTATGGGAGGAATCCCAGGCACGGGTGGAGTGTATGGGAGGAATCCCAGGCACGAGTGGAGTGTATGGGAGGAATCCCAGGCACGAGTGGAGTGTATGGGAGGAATCCCAGGCACAGGTGGAGTGTATGGGAGGAATCCTGGGCATGAGTGGAGTGTACGGGAGGAACCCCAGGCATGGGTGGAGTATACGGGAGGAATCCCAGGCATGGGTGGAGTGTACGGGAGGAATCCCAGGCATGGGTGGAGTGTATGGGAGGAATCCCAGGCATGAGTGGAGTGTATGGGAGGAATCCTGGACATGGGTGGAGTGTACGGTAATATTCCCAGACATGGGTGGTGTGTATGAGAGGAATCCCAGGCACGGGTGGTGTACAGGAGGAACCCCGGGCACGGGTGGAGTGTACAGTAGGAATCCCAGGCACAGGTGGTGTACAGGAGGAACCCCGGGCACGGGTGGAGTGTACGGTAGGAATCCCAGGCACAGGTGGTGTACAGGAGGAACCCCGGGCATTGGTGGAATGTACGGTAATAATCCTGGGCATGGGTGGTATGTACAGTAATAATCCTGCGCATGGGTGGTGTGTATGGTAATAATCCCAGGCATGGGTATAATTCTCAATGTGTTCTTGGTACACATGGTGCTTAAGTAGCACTAATTAGGTACCTGGAAGCAGGAACATCCTCAAGTGTACTGGTACACAACAAACAGCAAAACTAACTACAGTGTACACACCCCCAACTGAAGCATATACAGCCTCTCCTCACTTAGCGACGTACTCATTTCCCAGACGCCTTGGACTTACGATGGGCTCTCTGACCAGTATGCATACTAAATAATGTATATTAGAGCTGATTTCATCTCTTCTGTTTATTTACAATATACGTGCACTACTGTATATTGTAATATACCAGAAATGTTATAAATGGTGCAAAAGTGACATAAAACAATATCAAAGATGGATGACACAAAGCCATTTACCATTTTAGTTTTGCTCCTCACTTAGGCCGAATTCATTTAACAATGTGGTCTTGGGAATGGAAATCCGTCGTTAAGTGAGGAGAGGCTGTAACGTGTTCTAGACTCGTTTAAACATCCGCCATCATACTTTACAAGTTTTTAAACCATTTACACTGGAATATAAACCATAAGAGTGTATTAACAAGGTACTAGGTACTAAGTAGGTTTCCAGGTACTTTTTAACACATCCTCGATTAAACACCCAAATCATACTAAATGCGTCACACTAAAATATAAACAGAGAGTATAATAACAAGGTCTAAGAACTTAACTAGGTACTAAGTTTTTTTTTTTTTTTATCACACTGGCCGATTCCCCCCCAAGGCAGGGTGGCCCGAAAAAGAAAAACTTTCACCATCATTCACTCCATCACTGTCTTGCCAGAAGGGTGCTTTACACTACAGTTTTTAAAACTGCAACATTAACACCCCTCCTTCAGAGTGCAGGCCTGTTTCTAGGTACTAATAACACGTCCAGGACTTGTTTAAAATCCCAAAATCGTACTAAACACATTCAAAATATGTTTTGTGAAATATAAACCATCGGAGAGTGTAATAACAAGGCACTAGGTACCAGGGACTTACCAGGTACTCCCCCCAGAGGTGAGAAGGCAAAGGTACCAATACCAGAGCCACAAACAGCGATACCAGTAGCAAAGGAACGACGCTTCTTTAAAGTAACCCGTGACACAGACCAAAAGGCTGGGAGATATTATTAAGCCAAACCCAAGACCTTAAGTATTTTTATTATTATTATTATTATTATTATTTTTTATTTTATTATTAATCCCCAATTCATTTTAAAATCATACATTATATCCTCTTTAAAAAA